CAGTCCAAGGCAGGAAAGACTAATCCCAACCATGTTAGCGTTTAGACAGGCAATGCAAATATTCTTGTCTGAACAATCTCTTGATTCCTTTATATATGTGGCTGGAGATTTAAACACTGCTCCTTTTGATTTGAAGACCTGACTGTTCCTATTTATTTCTGTTGTGTTTGGATTGTTCTGTTACGTAAACTGCTTAGTCATCTTCAAATATTGGAAAAGCTGTCACATGGAAGGTGGAACAAGCTGTGGAGGGTAGGATCTAAATGAATTGATTGATTACAAGAAAAGAGATTTCAGCTAAATTTTAGGGGAAAAATATCCTGACAATAAGAACTATTGGTGGAATGGACTATGATGGGTGTTTTTCACTGGAGATTTTATAAAGAGGCTAGATGGTCACTTTATGTTTTAAATGTGGATTCCCTGCTTTGGCCGAGGTTGGACTTAAGGGCCCATTCTAGTGCTACAGTTTTATAGTTCTAATAAAGAGGCTAGATGATCACTTTATGTTTTAAATGTGGATTACCTGCTTTGGCAGAGATTGGACTTAAGGGCCCTTGAGACCCATTCTAGTGCTACAGTTTTATAGTTCTATGCTTTGGAACCTATCACTATGGTCCAAAGGTAATATAAAAATAAATAAAACACCAGCTTTGTCTGTAATTAAAGACTCAGGAACAGTCCAAACAGGCTTTTGTTTTTTACAAAAATCTGTCTGCCCAGAATCAAGATGCCTGGGTTTACAATTTTCAGCTGTTCACTGCAAGCAGAAGATTGACTGTTTTGTGTCATTATGCTTTTGACACGTCTATAGTTCTGTCAGTTTGCTAAGACTGGGTCCAAAAAAAGTAAACCATGTCAAATAAAAATTGCTTGGGCTGTTTTGCTGTAATTACTCATAGTCACAATTGTATATATAACATTCCCAGATAATTGTTGAATGACTAGAGTTGCTGAAAGATTCCTGAAGAAAAGTGGATAGATTAACAAATTACACCTCTTAGCAAAATGGGGAGGGGGGCAAACCTGTTATTAGTAAAGTTTGTCATAAGTACTCATGTCAAAGGTATAATTACAAGAGGGTTGTATGCTACAGTGATCACTTTAAAATAGGGTCTGTTTTTCATGTAAGCTAGCATTACAACATTGCTCTTCTTTATCTCTTGCTTGCTTAATTTTGTGATCTTTTGCATGAGTGCTCTCCCAGTAAAAAATCAGAACATACTGCAGATATATCCAGGCCAGGCTATTGTAATGTGTTATTTAAATGTGTTATCTGTTGAGCAGGGTGCACACTTACATTTGAGCAACAAGAGCAGGTGCAAATTCCATCAACAAAAGAGTAAAGAGAGCTTTAAAAATGTATATTCTAAAAGAATGGATTCAATTCTATTATCCTTGTATGAGCTAGAATCTTCAAAACCTTTAGACCACACACACACACACACACACACACACACACACACACACACACCCTCCCTCTTAAAAGAAAGGCTGGGTGCTAATTACTCCATACATAGAAACTGCAATTTGATAATACAGTTGGTATCATTGAGATGACCAACTCACTTTGACCTACAAAAAACTGAGGAAAGGTTCCCTGGATGCTAATTACTCCATACATAGAAACTACAATTTGATAATACAGTTGGTATCGTTGAGATGACCAACTCACCTTGACCTACAAAAAACTGAGGAAAGGTTCCAGTAAAATAAGAAGGGGAAGATGAAATTACATTGAAGGATTTCACTCCTACTCTTAGTCTACTGCAATATCTTTTATAGGCACGACTGCCCTTGAAGAAACCCTAATGTGTACAAAATGCTTCTGCTGAGCTGTTTGTTAAGCTGGACGTTTAGAACATATCATTCTTATCCTGTTTAATTTGCACTGGTTATGGAGCTGCTTCCAGGATCAATTCAATATAGTTCAACAAAATCCCTCTCCCCCCCCCCCCAAATTACATTAGAAACTATTTGGGTTGAAATAGGGTGCTGTTTTTTTAAACCCTTAAAGCTCTAAAAATCTACACATAACATGTAGATAGAAGTATCACATAGGGTGGGTGCCATTTCCCATGCCAGGTATAGTTGAACTGCTCCTCCAATTGAGTTCCATGCATGGAATAGAGTGGACTACCATGCTGTCCTTCATTTGAGGCAACAAAATATCTTAGACTAAGTATGAAAATAACTCAGAGCTTGCAAAAGTTAGTTTTTCAGCTACAACTCCCAGAATCCTTTATAACACCCAGAATTCCCTAGAATACTACCTACATTGGCTGGAGGATTCTAGGACTTTTACTGCTAGCAGGAAGATGTCTGGGACTGAAGTCCAAAAAAAGGTAGCATTTCCAAGCTCTGCTTTAGCTTACCACACACTTGACACTGGATAGAAACTGGATCCCATCAGATTGTTCTCCCCTAGCCAAGCTCAGTCCTCTGCCTTGGAGGACATCAAAAAAAGGAAAGCTGTCCCTGCCTGACTGCACGCCGTGTTCCTTCCTTTTCAGAAGATCATTAGATGATGATTTGTTGGTAAGATGGATCTGGAGGTGACAGCACCAAGTAAAGACATTTTGTTATATAAATTGTGCAATGTATTCATCAGTGTTACTACAAGGAATGCTAAATGATCACAGAAATAGCTCAAAACGAAGATTTGTCTCACATTACACTTCATGGCACAGGCCTCTAAATATATCCACTTTATTTTTATTCTGACTACAAAACGTAACTTCTCAAGAAGCTTGTCTGGTAACAAGAGATAATATGTCTTCATTGAAAGCATATAACTGAACAGATCTGTGCAACAGCATGCCAAATTACTACATCATCAAAGCAAACTGAAACATATAAAATAATTCCTCTTCTGCTTTGCCTGCCCAGCATATTCCAGTATTTCTTTCTGCATAGACATAAAGGCCCAAATAAAACTGATAGCCCCAACAACTAAAGTGACACATAGCAGCTGATATCCTGCTGCCTGGAGTAGTAAGCCATGACTAGAGTAAGACCATTGAATCAATGAAACTTAGGGAGGGGCTGACTCACAAAATCCCCACAGATTCAATGGGCCTACTCTAGTTGCAACTTATACTAAGAAAAAGGATTTCAGCCACTGAATAAGTTGCTGGAGGGTGAGTCAGTAGGGATGTAAACCACAAGGATTCAATGGGTTTGCTCTATCTGAGATTGCAAATTGAATTCAGGCTAAGGTAGAGTAGGGAAATTCCAAAACGTCCCAGGTCTCTGCATGCCCACCAGGCCCGAAAAGGCCACACTCTGTGACTCCAATACTGCCTGGACTTTAAAAAACAAAACAAAAAAGTAATTTAGAAGGTGGGCTTGTTGGGGGGTGGGTTCATAATGTCTTTGTTCCCCTGGCCTGTTCTAGGCCTCTGGGGGTCCTGGCCCATTCTAGGCCTCTTTATAAAACTGGAAATGACCCCAAATCATTCCAGTTCTGATGCCCCTGAGTAGAAGAGACCTAGGAAGGCTTACAGCAGAACTGACTCTCACACACCCCACAGGATGCAAGGGGCATCTGTTTTTAAAACACTGAGATATATACATATGAAGTTGGGTATGTGTGAGCTAAGACACAACTCACATGGGGGTGTCCCTGGAGACCACATGTGCCTATGGCCCACAATTTGCCCATCCTAGCATTAAGAACTCATCTGGTCTTGCTTCCTCAGAAACATTTAGCACATCGAAGATTAGCATATGTCTCAAGGTATCCATACTGAAGATTTCAGGACATGGGTAGCTGGTGAATGGAGTAGAATGTGCCCCCTCCAATTTTAGGATGGGTGCCCCTCTTCCACAAACCTCCCTTTGGTCTATAACATAATCCAAAACCTCCTCTGATTCTCAAAGTGATATTGGGTTGAAATATTGAAAAGCTGGGTTCAAAAACCAAAAAGAGGGGAAAGTTGAATTAAATGTGACAATAATTGAATGGATTAAATTAATGTGTGTACATAGTTTAAAAAATTAGTTAGCACAAGAGATGTAGTAGCCTGTATAATGAAATTGTAAACCGCCGAATGTGTGTACATAGTTTAAAAAAATAGTTAGCACAAGAGATGTAAGATTTCATTACACAGGGACGATAGTAACACTTTCTTTCCGTGCAGACTTCCTCCTGAAAATCATCTTAGATATATTCAGGAGGGAAGCATCTTCTGGCAACAGTTGCACTAATACCATCCCTTGTATTCCTTAGGAAGACTTTAAACAATGTGAGGCCTGTAATAGACATGGTTTACTCTCTTCTACTAATTTCTGCAGTTTTTGAAATAACTCTAAATACTAAAATTTACCACCCCCAAAAAAATCTCACCTCCTTCCCATTTTCCATCTGAGATACTGCAGAATACTGGATGCCCGTACTTTTTCTCTCCCCTTGCAAATAGAATTCTATAAATATAATTATCATTTTTCAACGTCACAGAGAAAAACTTTGCTATGTGATAGTAGAATTAATACAAACAAATGAACAAAAGGACAGGAACTTACTGTATTTATCAGAAATTATGTGAAAACCGTGTGTATACTATTGTGTATATAAGGATCCTGGGGCTCTCCATGAATTGTGCAGCCACCTGGAATACCTGCATTAGGAACATAGGAAGTTGACTTATGCCGAGTGAAACCATTTGGTCCACCTGTCACTCCACTGCCAAGTTTGAATGGCACCAGCTGTACTAGTTTTCAGACTGACTTGTTTCTGAGACATACCTGGTGATCTCTGCCATTTCCTAGTGGTCTTTCCTTTAAGTCCTATCTAGGCTCAGTCCTGCTTAGTTTCTGAAATCAGATGGGATCGTGTGAATTCAGATTGGCATGATGGAACCAGCAACGTGTGCTAAACATTTATGGTTATACATATTACTCTCTATGTACAAATAGAACTGATGACAGGGTTGGGATGACTGTTGGTTTAACAAATAGATTAGTATTTGATGCTAATTGTGTTCTTGTTTTCATTTTAGAAACCTTGGGAAATCTGGATTGAGAGTTTCATGTTTGGGGTTAGGTAAGTATATTGTTTGGTGTGTGTGTAGGGAAGTCAGGATAGAAGGTGTACCAGTGATGTTCGTCCTTACGGCTTTGTTCATGTTAGAACTAAACACAAATCTGGCAAATAGTTTTTCCTGGTTCCACAAGTGCTGTTGATATGAGTACCCATAGACATTTGTTTGACCTTCCTTTCATGGAGCCATGTTAATGTCGCATTCAGTTCTTTATTAATAGAAATAGACCTATAAAATGGGACTTTATGTTCTTTTTGCATATTTGACATAATAATACAGAAGTGAGATCAAAGTCACATAGTCCTATGGCTATGTAAGGATGAATTCAGAGCTTAGTTGAGGACTTTCTGTGCCAGCATTCCCTTTGTAAACACATTTGTTCGAAGACACTTAACTGTAAAATAATAACAAAAGGAAGTGATACATCCACTGAAATATTAGTTCAAAAGAAGGGAAGACTCTAGTCCCAGAATGTAAAACATATAATGTTTTTTATTCTAGTTTAAAATACCTGACCTGCTTTGGCCTCTCAACCTTCTTGAACGGCATGTTTATTTAACACTAGCTATACCTGACACTACTGTGAGCAAGCAGTAAACATATGGTTTCTGGAGTTGGAAGAAGGTTAGAGAGAGAGATTTGCAGACTTCCATGTTATGGAACACCCATTTGAAGGAGTTCCCATCCTTGCACTCAGTGGTTGGAATCCAATAAATCACAATTAGAGTAGGCCCATTGAATCAATGGAACTTATGAAGAAGTTGATACATGAAATCCCTACTTGCCTACTCTAGTTGTGACTTTCTGCTGAATTTCAGTCAGTGTTGGCATACTTTAAGTGGCAAGTTAAGGCATCATTATTAGCTCAGGGGCTTTAATGGCTTGAATCATGGAAAGACTGTTTATTTTTAAATCGAGCTTTCCCTTTGTTGCTTTTATTACTACACTAGTTAGTTGTTTATTGTGTATCTTATTGCTATGATTTAATTTTCACAGTAAACATCCCTGGGATGTATACAACAGTGGAAAACACATAAATGCCTTGTATCAGAGTTGCACAAGTTCTGGGAGCCCAGGCAGGGCCAGAGTGGTTGTCCATGTGAATCCAGTCTAAGGAAAAACAGACTACCAGTCTTTAGAAACTCAGTTTTCTACTAGAAGAACTTCTGGGGAGCAAAACCTGTTCAAAGTGAGAGAGCAAAGAGCAGCAATTCCTGTTTTTGTTTTTGTTGTTGTTTAAAGCAAAGTATTTCTTTGTTAATTTAATTTAAAATATTTTTGCCCTGCCTTTCTCCTTAAACAGGACCCAAGGCAGCTTACACATCAAAAAGACGATGTTTAGAGCTAAAAACAATGCATAAATAAATATAGAGCTAAAAACAATAAGTATATCAATTTTAAAAAGGATCAAACAAAAACCACTCTTAGAAATGGTAAGCAAAAGCAATACTAAAAACACATTCAACACAGTAAGGCATATTAGATTAGATTAGATTAGATTAGATTAGATTAGATTAGATTAGATTAGATTAGATTAGATTAGATTAGGCATCGTTCAGTCTTGAAAGACGATTGTAACGTGCTCTGAATGGAGGACTTGGAACAGCGTCTAGTGTGGCTGAGAAGGCCAATTCGAGAGTGACAATCCCTTCCACACTGAAGACAAATACAATCTGTCCCCTGTTCAGTTCCCTGATTTTGCTGCTTTCGGGACTGCCTCTTTGCCTCGGCCTGCTGGACAGGTGTCTCTTCAAAATGGGAGAGGCCATGAGGCACCGCCTGCCTCCAGGCTGAATGCTCAGATGTCAGGGTTTCCCATCTGTTGAGGTCCATTCCTAAGGCCTTCAGATCCCGCTTGCAGATATCCTTGTATAGCAGCTGTGGTCTCCCTCTGGGGCACTTTCCCTGCACTAATTCTCCATACAGGATATCTTTTCGAATCCAACCGTCAGCCATTTTCACAACATGCCCAAGCCAATGTAGATGTTGCTGTTTCAGTAATGTATACATGCTAAAAAATTCCAGCTTGTTCTAGGACTACTCTATTTGGAACTTTATCCTGCCAGGTGATACCAAAAATGTGTTGGAGACAACGCAAATGGAAGGTGTTCAGCTTCCTCTCCTGCCATGCACAAAGGGTCCAGGACTCACTGCAGTACAGGAGTGTGCTCAGGACACAGACTCTATAGACCTGGATCTTTGTATATGCCATCAGCTTCTTATTAAGCCATACTCTCTTTATGAGTCTAGAGAATGTGGTAGCTGCTTTGCCATTGTGTTTATCCAGCTCGACATCTAGGGAGAGAGCGTCAGAGATCGTTGAGCCAAGGTACACGAAATCATGGACAACCTCCAATTTTTCTGTGGAGATGGTAATACAGTCAACCCTCGACTTACGAACTTAATCCATTCTGGAAGGATGTTCGTAAGTCAAAAAGTTCGTAACTCGAATCAGCATTTCCCATAGGAATGCATTGAAAACCAATTAATCCATTCCAGCTGTTTTTGGTTCTTAGGTCAAGGGGCAGTTTGTAAGTCAAAGCATTAGTTCCCATAGGAACTAATGCAAAGCCGGTTAATCTATTCCTACCACTAGGGGCAGAATTTTTCTTTTTTCTTTTTAACCTAAGATGGTGTAGGTTTAAAAAAAGGCAGGAAACCATGGAGGGAACGAAGGAACACTGTTTAAAAAGAACACTTTTAAAATCAAGCGCCTTTTACACCAAAACAGGCACCTCTTCAACCAAGTACCTTTTAAATCAAAACAAGCAGCTTTTAAAGAAACCAAGCACGTTTTTGCCCAAGCAGGTTTTAACTCAAACCGAGCTCCCTTTTACCCAAGCACTGTTTAACCCAAACAAAGCATATTTTAAATTAAATTTTACATTTAAAAATAATACCAGGCAGTCCCAGGTCTCTGTTCCCACTCTCTAACCGCTTGGATGAGCAAGGAAGCAGACAAGCAGCCTCTTTGCTAACTAAAATTTCAAATTTCCTGCTTCCCCTGCCTTCCCCGCACTTTTTTCCATTCGTAACTCGAATCCAAGTTTGCAAGTTGAGTCCATATTTTCCTATCAGAGCGGTTTGTAAGTCGAAATGTTCGTAACTAGGGCCGTTCGTAAGTCAAGGGTTGAATGCATAGGGGGAGGTGAGTCCATGCCCTGGCCCATGACTTGTGTTTTCTTCAGGCATAATAATCCATTTAAAAATCTCACTCAGGCAGCCAGTCACTGAGGTAAAGCTTGCCTGAAGTGAAAGCAGGGAGGAGACAGACAGTTGCAAAAGCAGCCTTGGGGGGTGCATGAATCACACCTATGCCTTAAACCAGGAATAAATATTATCACTATATAAATAATTCAAATGGATTTGAGACTTTCTGAAGCATCCTTTTCTGAGAGGGGTGAAAGGTTCTAACCCTCGAATTCCATATTGACTTTCTTTTCTATTGTCCATCCTGCATCGTTTCAAGGATTGATGGTTTTCATGCATAACAATACTGCAATCTGTCAGCATTATTTACTCACAATTTACTCAATGTGTCTAAATCTAAGGCTAAAATGAAATTCATAACTTCAGAATGTGCCGGTAATATGTTGTTGTTTATGAAACCTTCCGCTCTGTAGAACTTGGCACAGCTTATCTGTTGCTATGAGATACAAGCTTTTGAATGCTGTGGGATCTACAGACGAGGGTGCAAATGTCATAATCAAACATGACGGTTCTGAAGGCTTGTATGACTTGTAATCAGATTAATCCCAAGGAACTGTGGCAACACAGAGATATGAGATGGCAGATCCAAAACTCCACAGGAATGTATTTGGACCTTATTTGTTCCTAGTATTGACTGATTACTTATTGGCCAAAATCATCTTGTGTAATTAAGCTGCCAGAAAGGCCATGGTGTAACTCACAGCAACAAATTGCTGCTGATTATGAGAAACTACTTGTATTCTTGGCCACATACCAAGCCACCATTGTGGCCTGCAGTGAGAAACCCAAGTGGAGACTCATTAATTAGCAGCTATTTACCACTGCGTGTTATGCCATCTCTCTTCTGCCAGCATAACTATGCGAGAAGACTTTGGCAATTATATTTTTAATCCATCAAAGAAGACTATTCTTGAGACAGATTAGAAAAGCTAGAAAAATGCCGTCTGAAATTTCCCCCACAAATTCCTTATTTCTTTTTAGAGAACTGGATTCAGAGTGCAGACAATATAATGGTAAAAAACTATTCTTACAAGGGGTTAAGAGTCAGCAAGAAAGAAAAATTTGCCAGAGCACAGTCTGTCGTTGGTTCTCTTTGCTAGATAAACAGCAGGTAAATCCTTAATCCGTTTTGACCAGATTTTTTTTTGCCTTGGAGGGATTATCATAGTAAAACATTGCTAGTTAAATTCCTCAAGCTGACAGTCTTCAGGGCACAAACAGAGTCTTCCCTGGGATCTCTAGAATTCAAAGTTCTGGACATGCCTATGAATTTTGTCTCCAACATCAAATGAATATACATGAACACAGTGGTGAACTGTAGTGTGAAGCCTCCAGTTTCCTATCCTGATAAGACATTGGAGGACACGTCCCAGTCACAAGCCCCATATATATCTGGAGATGTTTTAAAAGCGAGGAAGGGATCGCTACATTAAGTTACCCCTTTTTGGCTTTTAAAACATTTCAAGTTAAACAGAGCTTAGAAAAGTTACTTTCCAGACTACTGTATATAAAAATGCTGGTTTCATCCACAATCTTGGGTGCAGAGATTCCTGACAGAACTCTGACTTCGGCACAACTTCCTGAAAACCACCTCCATCCAGACTTCAAAGATAACTATCTACCCTTGATGGGAACTGACAGAGAAGACAGTCACGGATAACAGAATGTCAATCGGCACTTTCTGTATTCATTACTGGCGTGAGTTGTCCCACTGTCACTTCTAAAGGTCATTACCAATGTAATTGTTATCCCATCTCACTTGGTCCCTGCTACTCTGCCACGTACTCCACCA